GTTGGCTAAATGCTAACTGAAAAGCACATCAAAAGACCATGAAAAAGATTAAAAAAAAAGTCAGAAGATGATATAAAAAAGAAAGAAAACAGTTTCAAGTCTTATTCATTTTGAATTGGATGTTCCTGCATTATTATCCTGATGGATGTGAGACAAATGGTGACTCTTTATGGTGGGAGGGTTCTGTCTCTTTTCTAGCTGAGTCCTCACCATCTATTCTACATCCTTCCTCCTGTGCTACTCAGTACAATTCTTCTACCAAAAGCTGACATTGTTTTTGAAAGCTTTCAAACAAAGAAAAACCATAAATGTATTCTTTTTAATGTAAGCAGATAGAAATTTTGATAGTAGAACTGATTTTTATTATATTGAAAACTGTTTTAAATTCAATAAATAATAATTTACTTTTTAAGCTTTAAACTGCATTGTATTTAATTTAAATAGATTTTCTTTTTCAGTCCACCTTCAGTCAACCTGCAGTTATACATGTTTAAGGTTGCCATACTAACTTAATATCCCATAATTGAAATAGTCAGAATTACCGTATTTTTCAGGCTATAAGTTGCACTTTTTTTCAAGGGTTGGCCGGCCAAGCCAAAAAAAAAACCCAAGGAACCTTGCAACCAAAAAAAAGTAATCCAATAACCGGAAAAACAACGAAAAAAAAAACGTTACAACTTACCACAACAAAACAAATTAGAATTACAGCAACAACAACTGAATAAAAATATGCCACCCAAAAGAAATTAATATACTGCTGAATTCAAGCAGAAAGTAATTAAATATGCAGTCGAACAACCAGAGTAGGCCACAGGGCAACTGACGCATTATCACTGCTTCTCAGATGCTCGTTCATGGAATAAAACAATGCGGTTTTTGAGCAGTAGCCTACCATGCGCCAGTTATCAAAAAACAAATTCCATGGATAGAATAACCTTTCTTTTAGTCCGTTGTGACGTATAAGTTTTTTTTTTCGTATTTATGATGCATTATTTGGCTGATGCGACTTAAACTCCAGAGTGATGTATAGTTGGAGTGGCGATACTCTAATATGGCTTTTTAAATTAAATTTCTGTTTCTGAAAGCCCTTCCAAACAATTGCTTCAGATGGCTTCTCAGTTTCTCTCTTTTAGCAGTATTTTGTTTTTCTAACACATACAGCCATGCTGATTGTGGTTTTTATGCTTCCTTGTTTTCACCCTTTCTTGTGTTCCCTCTCATTCATCCAAACACCATCTTCATTTTGCCCCCCCACCACCACTTTGCCTCTCCCTCCATCCCTTTTTCTCCCCCCCTCCATTCCACCAAGAGTAATTCCATCTCTCTCTCTGCAAACAAAGGGGGCTAATAACATGCTGACACCGAGCCTGATGATTGAATTCATTAGGCGTGCACAATAATTGCCAGGCGGCAGCGTGCGCGCACCCTTCCATTCACAGGACAGCTGTCACATAACAAGCAAGAGAGAATGGCTTTTTATTGTTGCACTGGAATAGAAAGTGAGAATGAATATAAGGAATGAAGTGAGAGAAGCACCTGTTGTGGAGAGAAGCATAAGGAAGCTCTCAGCATGTCAATTAGGCTGATGTGCTGGTGCTGGGTTAGTGGGAAGTTTACTGCTGGGTGACATCAAGGTGCAGGTATAGGCTTTACTGGAGTTCTTTCTAACTGATGAGCTTCTATTAGCATCTCCTATAGCAAGACATTCTTCTAGGTATTAGCCGTATGAATCTGTTTTAGCCTATAGATAATACTGAAACTAATTACACCAATATTGAGTTTATTTCCACTGAAAATAAAGTGTATATGACTGTATATCAGCAGCAACAGTCTTCTACGAGAAGTACTGTAGAAGCAGTGCACAGCAAACTTTCCTGCACTGCACATAAAAGCCCAGCATGCTGTCTATTATAATTATAGCTCCCAGGAAAAACCTATAAAATCACAAATCAGGAGATGTCAGTCATATGTGCTGCTGACTGTAGTGAACCAGGCAGTATGGTAAGTTCTGAGGAGGAACAATGTTTCTTATTTTCCCTGGACTGTAGGAGTGTGAAAAAGCTGCCAGCCACTAAGCCAAACTCATGGATCTTCACCATGTTTGTGTGCAGAGATTCCTCCTCCTGACGCATTGGAAAACCCTATTATACTGATCAGCTTACCGTCTTAACTTATGGGAAGTTGTACTAGTCTTGACCACTGAAGGTCTAATATTATCCTAATTTAAATCAGATGCAAACTAGTGGCTTTTATTGTTAAAATTTACAAAGCTAAGGGGTTGTTTTGAAGAAGATGGTTTATCAAGATAGAATTATTGAAATCTTATTCTGCTCCTTTAATAAATATGAGGTTTAATAGGAGACTAACTAGCTTCAGAGCTTAAAATGGCTAGCTGGTAGCTCAGCTGGTGTGGACAGGCCTTTTTTGAGGGGCGGGGCTTATTCAAATTTGTATGTTAAAAGATATGATACAGTATATGTACTTTATTGATCTTTTACTCTTAAAATAATGCATTATTAAAAGGTTTCTTGAGGTAAGCTGTTCATTATTCATTTAAAGGTAATTCATGGTCAACATTTTTAAATTAAAGTATTACACTTATTGAAAATTTTAAGTTTTAATTTTCCTGTTTTTCTTATTCCACATAGTAAAAAGCAGCATTAACAGATATGATGTAATCGGTAACAGATAAGCATGTTTGATGCAAGTGAAACGCTGTTCTGCACCAACAGATGCTGCACCATAAAATGCTCCCTTAATGAACTTGTTTTAATATACTGCTACGTGAGATTCCTCCCATAGGAAATGCTGGGGTACTTGCAGGAGTAAATAGGTTCCTTTAATGATTTGTTGGATGTGTCTGAAAGGGAAGGCTGACTAAAATACTGTTAGAGTAAATTATACAACCTTAAGCAAGCTGTGAAATGTTTTTAATTTGAATTTTCTTTTGTTTTGTCTTTTTTCTGTTATAGAAAACGGATGAGGATGAGTTGGTCCTGACTCCCGATGGGACCAGAGAGTTCCTGACCTTTGAGATCCCACTCAGTGACTCGGGCTCAGCGGGTTTAGGTGTCAGTGTTAAAGGCAACCGCTCCAAGGAAAATCATGCAGATCTTGGCATTTTTGTCAAATCAATCATAAATGGTGGAGCAGCATGCAAGGTACTAATTAAACATCCTGTAATGTATCAGCTGTTAAATCAGCATAGCTATGTTCCATCATTTCTAAGAAGTAATGGACCACGTTCCTTTGAACGAACAGGATGGACGTTTGATTGTAAACGACCAGCTGATCGCTGTGAATGGAGAATCGCTGTTGGGGAAAACCAACCAAGATGCCATGGAGACGCTGCGGAAGTCCATGTCAACTGAAGGCAACAAACGAGGGATGATCCAGCTTATAGTGGCCAGACGAGTTGCCAAGAGAAATGAGGTATGGAAAGAATAGGAGCAAAATTTAGGGCTAGCGATACAGCCTCAAATCAATACCTCGATATATTGGGCAGTTTTACCTCGGTAATGATAAATGGATGATAAATGCTCCAGCTACTCTATCAGAAATAAAGAGATGTACAGGAAATGCAACTGATCTGTTAATAAATGATTTTCTGAATAAATCACATTACATATTACTATCAATTGAATATTAAAGTCTTTTTCCCATTCAGGTTTAAACATTCAACAATGTCTTATTAACAGGAGAAAAATGTTACCTCTCTTGGTAAACGTTTTTGCACAAAGGTAATGGAGCCTTTTGCACATCTTTAAACTGGACTGAGTGGCCGTGCTGTAGGTGGTGGAGGTTGCATGTTTTACATTACGTAGTCCCGACAGTTTTCAGACAAGCTTCGCATTTCGTGTTCTTTTGCCCAAATTTATGGCGTAATTTTGATGCCACCGAACTGAGCGTGCAGTGAGAACAATGTGCGTCGTTTAAACTCACACATTCTCACTCAAAACTTGTCTGTCACAAGATCAGCTCTGACATCGCACTCTTGACTTCCTCTCTGCACGCTCGGCTTAATCTCTGCTCTTGTTCGGCTCCACAGGATTAACTGATGTCATTTAGTTTACCACTGCGTTAGACGCTTCTTCACTGGGCTCATCTGCCATTCTCTTTCTTTACGTTTTGACTGAATGGGTAGAGTCGCGTAATTAGACACACTCTGCCGTATCTTAAAGGGGAAGGAAATACCAGCCACCTTGCACACAGGAAAAACGCCAGAATTAAGTTTTTTGCTTTTACTGAAATGGAAAATTGTTTCCAGTTACCAAAAAGTTGTTGCCAGTTACCATAGTGAATGGCGGTAATAGTAAAAATCCGGTTTATCGCCCAGTCCTACCAGAATTAATATAAACTTCTTGTCTACTTCCTTGGTTAATTTTCATTCTTGGCCAGCTTGTTAGTTTAGGTTTTTCACCATTTCTTGGTGGATGTGCCTTTGTCATACTTCACTAGGTCTAACTGTGCACTCTGAGCTGATTGTTCTCTAATCTCTTCAAACAGACCTCCTACCCAGTATCGAAAAATTTAGTGGAAATAAAAAAAAAATTAAGAAAAACATCCTAGATTTTCAGATTGTTTGCGAAAATGAGTAATATGCAACTTTATGTTGGTCTTCTACATAAAAGCCACACATAATACACAGAGACTGTGATTGTTATGCAAGAAATGCCACTGCTGAGTTAAAGCTTTCCAAGGTACTGAACCATATAATATGTAGGGCTTAAGTTGTTTTCCAGTTTTAGACTAAAGAGGTAAAGCTTTAATTCCATACGATCCTCTTTGTGATAAAAATACGACTCACCCCAAAGCAGACCACCTGGAACTGCTCCTTATGAGCATCACTTAATTATTTCATGTAGTAACAGGAAGTATTCAGGTCAGTGTGATTTACCAACCCCCCCCAAACACTAACACGCCTCCCATGGGGCAGGCAGAGGAATGAAAACGTACTACAAACCAAGCAACAAAACTTTTTTTTGCCCCTTTACCTTCCTTCAATGTCATGTCTTTACATTCCCTGTACACCTCGGTCTGTCACCTGCTTGAAAGCTAAGGCTGAGTGAGTGTTGGTGTGCGAGTGTACGCCTCTGGCTCTACCAGACTTCCCTGCTCTCCTTCCCCAACCAGGTGTGTCAAAGTTTAGATTTCCCCTCGGCCCCGGCTGGTAATTGAAAGCAGAGGCTCAGCCTGGAGGTGTTTTTTTTTGCCGTGCGTCGACGTGTATGCATGTGTTTGCATCAGCCTCTTGTTTATGTATGCATAGACGGGCAGTAAGGTGTGTGGTTAGGGCAACCAATTTGTGCGTTTATTCATTTATTTTCAAGGCTGTTTCTGTGTTTGTTTAGGAGAGCCAGTGTTTACCTGTGCTTTAATGCAGTGAGACTCAGAGTATAAGGAATTAATAAAATTCAGGCCTGGTTAGTCTTTCTGTGTTTGTTTCACATGCACAGCTGGAGGCATGGCCTGGGGCTGCCCAAGTGTCTGGCTGTTTATAAGAAAAATGCTCCACAACACTCGGAAAATACAAAGATGGAAAACAGTTTACTGCACTTTGACTGTACGTAGAGGATTTACAAACCCTCTCTGGAGTTACTGCAAAATAATGACGTCCTCTGCAGCTGTCAGTCAAAAAGAAAAAAAAGGATCTTATAATAACTAATTACTGCTGGATGAGAGCCTTGGCTCATTTTTGACATTTTCCTGACATATGGGATCAAGTAATCCTGTATTTACTTTCCTCTCCATGTCTCCATCCCCTGACAGCCAATCTCAAATCAATCTGCAATGTTTGTCGCTGCATAAATCACAAACCCAACTGCTTCCGCTCCTTCAACCGAGCCCAGAAACACAGCAAATTGAGAGCAGCGCACTTCCACACACCACCGCTGGCCTCCCCGCTGGGATCCAGCCCTTCCCCGAGCTCAGCTATCAGCCTGAATATGCAATGAGCTGCGGCATGGTTTGTCGATGCGTTGTCGGCCTGCTAAATCCCCTCTGCTATTACAGAGGCATTTCAGCCCCGCTCCTCAGTCGGCCAATTCATTAACTACCTCATTTAGAGTCAAGAGCAGCCAGCAGTCACTGCACCATATGGCGACCTTTGAAATTAGTTTGTTTCCGAAGTTGATTTGTTGGCTCTGTGTGAAGTTTTGATTGGTTTTCTTCATTCAACTGTGATTCAGTCATTTGTTTACCTCCAATGCAAGGAAAGCCGCGGCACTGCTAATGAAGATCTTATCTGGCATTAGTAAAACCTGGAGTCCATTAGAGCTTTTATTGATTAACGTCTATCAGTCTCTTTCCAATTGGTTTGAGGTAATTTACTCATATTTCTCTCAGTGTTTCCAGCTCATATCCAATACCAGTTAGAACAGGTTTGTGTTTTCATAAAATAATTGATGTGGAAACATTTTAATTGTCATCCCAGTGGCCTATTGATATGTTGCCTCAAATTGCATAGCCTTGCTCAGCCCAAGGAAATCAATGTTTTTCCTTCTTGTCTCAATCATTGCTTTGACTTTTAGGACCATTATCTTACTTGGAGTATCGGCCTTATGTATTTTGTCTCTCGGACCCCCTTTTCAGACACTTAGAATGGTACGGGGAATTGCAGGCTAACAAAAGAAGCCAAATGACCCCCATTGCAAAGGGGTGGACTCATCCGTCCGTTTCAATTTGCATCTTTTCAAGACAAAAACAAGGTTTTGATGGGCTACTGTATAAAACCTCGAACTCAACGCTGTTTCAGACATTTTGAATTGAAAAGGCTTCCTGGATGGGAAGCGAAATGTCTTCAAACTTGGAAACAAAGTCCAGTGGATTGTTTAATTTTTTTGGTTTTTTTTGGGAGAGTCTCTTGCTTGCATTCCTCTTTTTGGGTCAGGTTTTCTGTTTACCTTCAGATATACCTTGACCATCTTGTTTCTGTCTTGCATTAAGTTTTGTTCAGCATCTTTGATGACGTTATGGTGCTATGCGATTGGCTCATTCAATATTTGATGTAACCAATGGTTAAGTAAGAGGTATACCTAATAAATCAATGAGTAAATCCCCCTTTCTTCAGTTTTCTCCTCTCTGGTCCCATTGTTGGACTCATATCCCCATATAAAGCCCAGATCTGTTTGTTTACACTAGTTTATAGCAATGCCTTAACCGTTTAGTAAGAGGTAAGGATCATTGGTCAAAGACCTTATGCCAAAATCGAATCCCAGCCTGCCCAGTTACAGCATTGATTGGGGTAATTTTGCTCCAGTATTGACTCCAGTGTTATCTCTTGTTACCTGATGCCGGCGACAGTGGTTATCTTCATAGCAAAGCCTGTCATCACTGTCAGCAAGAAATACAGAAGCCATTGCAAATCAATGGAGTCAATGATCCAATGGACAAACACTGAGGGCAGAGACCCCCGCGCTGACTTCTCCCGGGCTGTAGATGGGAGCTGCTTTGTGACAGACTCTGCAAATAGTCTATTTGTCGGGCAAACAAGGAAGCGTCCTCAAAGGTCTTGAGGGAAATGTCAGGACGGTGGTACGTTAACCTTCTCCATGGCTCAGCTGGCTTGTTAACAGCTGGTGACTCAATGGCCTGTTGAGAATGTCTGCTCATTTATTTTTGTTATCACACAGGTCGCATTAGGATTGAGACCTGCCCCTGTGCTCAACCGTATGTGTTTACACTATTTTAGCAAGGCTCATTCCCTAGGGGGATACTTTCTGACTTTTATTTCATGTCACCAAGGTTGTTTTAATGTGCTGCTCCTCATAAACACCTTTAGTTTGTTTTGGTCCACATTTCAATAGACGTCTAGAACAATGTGATCAGATGAAAGGATGGATTATTAAAAAAAAACAAAAAAGTAAAGTTCGGTTTGCTCATAGAGATTTAATCATCTTTAGCACTTCCACCCAGGTCTTTATGGCACTTTATGCATGTAGTGCTAATTACCATCCGCTGAACACCAAGAAGGTGGTACAACATTAGGCTGTCTTCACTCTGCAGATTTTTATGCTAAATTCCATTTTTATTGTCAGATTAGATTTTTGTGTCACTGTTCACATGACGTCTCAAATAGTGGCACTGAAGGGACCAGCATGCACAGAAGAACAACAACAAGATCTCTCAATGGGTGGATTGAAAGCCTTTAACCAGTGGAAGTAGCTGGATGATACAGCAAACAATTAGAAAAAGGAGAAGGAGAGCAAACTGTTCATAGTGGCTTTCTGTGGAGCAGTGGCAGCAACGTAGTCAGTCAACTGACCTGTTACGATATGACCCCTCATGTTTCTCTTGGATCATTTTATCTGCCAAAATACTTATTAATTTCACAATGTTGTCTTTCCACTGTACACCTCCGTCTATGCTGTTCCACACTTTCAGTACAAAGTGACATTGTAACACAATTTATGAGACGGGTCACTCGGCTGTTCAGACTGCAGTCAGATCCCAAAAGATCCAACCTGTAACAGTTTAACAGCATGGGGACAAAAACAATCCCGACAAAACAAAAACGATAAACATAGATGGAGATGTACAATGGAGGGATCATATTTTGAAAATTATTCAAGCATTTGGGGGGATGCAACACTGCAAAAGAAACTTGAGGGGTCATACTGTAACTGTCAGGGAGGCAGAGGTGAGTTCTTGAAGATTTAATAAAAATTACTCACAGGCAACTGAGGCATGAATCCAAAAACCCAACATAAAAAGTACAGAAAAAAACAGAACCAGGGAGACATCAGGAAAAACAGGACCTCAACATGCATGAGGAGCCGGGAAAAGAAAAGGAACCAGCACTGAGGAGCTGCACTGGGAGAGTATATATGGGACACTGAACAAAGATGCCACTAATGAGCTGATTGGGAGCAGGTGTGAACAGAGGTTTCTAGAAGGGAGCTAGGAAAAAGGAGAACACTAGAGGGCAATCAAGAAAAACCTAAGAAATCAAATATATACAGAAAACACAACAAAGTAGGAATTAAACCAATAAAACTAGAAAACAAAGAAAACCATGGATTAAAGTGAAACTGAAAACTCAAAAGAAAACTTAACAAGACCATGACAGTAAGTGGTCAGTTGACTACAATGCTGTATTGATGCATTTGTCTTTGGAGATGTTGCTGCCACTGCTTCTCCTTGAAGCTGCAGTTAATAGTTTGAAAAGATCGGGGTTGAGGGTGCAAAATGAAGGAGAAGGGGTCTGATTGGATTCAGCCTAACAGTTTTTCTCTCTGTTTCAGGAGACTTCAGGGAGCCAACTGGTACCTCAGCAGACGGCAAACACAACTCTGGACGATCACGAGCGCAGAATCTCCCACTCTCTCTATGGAGGCCTGGAAGGCCTGGATGACAACTTGATGCCACGCCAAGGAATGATTCCACGCACAATAGGTACCATTCAAAGCTTCTTTTTCCTCATTTTAACTTGGTGCTTTTTGAAGAATCATAGGCAGCTTCCTTTGCTTCAGCCTCCATTAATAAACCTACATTAGGTAAGGTGGGAAACAGCTGGTTTCATCAGAACTATCAGCTCCTGTATTGTTCTGCTCTGCATTGGAAAGCATAGTTCATATTGGAAACCAAGTCCAGTGGATATTTTTTGATTTTTTACGGAATGACTATGACCTGGATGACTGAGAACCTTCATCAGCATAGTTCATATTGCTCTGCTGAATTATGTAGCTTATTTTAGCCAGTTGGTTGAATGTCAATCAAAATCGTCAAATATGAAGAGCTCTTAGTTTAAAGGCTATCAAACAAAATTGACCACTAAAAATGACCAAGAATTGCATTTTCAATTGTGGGCCAATAGACCTTTAAAGCTCAAATAGAAAACACATACTTATAATTTCTAATTTCATATTATGTACAAAATTAAAGACATCACAAGTGAAAAAAATATCCAGCATTTTGTTGTTTATGGCATAAACTAATGCACTAAGATAGCAGACAAGCCAAAATTCCTTATTCAGTAATATGACCCACTGAGGTGCTGTGGGATGCTGTGACGTCAGTTTAGTCAGGAAGTAGTCATTTTACATAGCCAATCCATATTTATTCACCTTTGTAAATGAGTTTTTATCCTTTAATGAGGACGAATACAAAGCAATCAGTCTTAGTGGTTTTATTAATGCTCGCTGGTTTAATCAAAGCTGCTAAATGTTCTTTGTTCACACACGATAAAACTGCTCTAGACGCACTCCTTTCTATTTGTGATGACGCAACAAACTGCACAGCCAGCACACAGAAACGTCAAGTTTCTGAGTTCAGAGGTGTCAGCAGACAGGTTTGAGTGAAGGGGTGCAAGTTTGAACGCTGCACATCTGCGCGCTCAGGTCAGTTGTACAAACATTATGCCAGAGAAAGCGAAACATCCCCCTCACCGTTCTGAATATAAGAAGTTTTCGACACAGCAAAGTAAACTGACGCCAGACATGCCCACTCCATCTGTGGCGGACATGTTGGAAAATGCAAGAAAGTTTCCCAGTGATTCTGCCAAGGTTTAGGGCATTACCTTGATTGATTTTTGTTTTTTACAATCCCTTTAAATAGATCTAAACTCAATGTTCTAGTAAATTTTGCACCATGTTTATTTATTTTTGCACTGCACCGAACATTTTCATATCAATACCTTTTGCAGCATGACTTTAAACTGGTTTTCCTTTTCTCCTACAGTCTACATTCTTGCATCACTGCTGCATTTCATGAAGGATAAAGTTCATTCACTGCTGAAAAGCTATATGCATCGATAAAGTTTGTCATTAGAAAAACTGCCAGTGGTCAATACATATTTTGATACTTCTGTAATTGATTTATTGAGATGCCTTGATTTATGCATCGTAACCCAGACTCCTATGGTTCTAATATTTGGCAGGATTTCTTTCGTGTTTCCATTTTCAGTTCTCAACCTTGGTAGCTTAAACTTTGTCAATTTAACAGATAGAGGAAAAGTTGCTGCTAAACAACAAGTTGAAATGTTAAACACAGGATTTATATGAACAGGAAATGGACCTATTTCCATTAAACCTGAATGTTGTTTAATCATCTTAAGACACACAGATGGTCCACGCTGCTCGCATCACACTGCTGTTTTTTTTTTTTTTTAGCTAATTTGGAACTTAACTTGCTCTCTTTTATTTACTTTCTGTGTTTATCAAGCTTTGCAGGTTTTACAGAAATGACAGATTTTTGACTCTTCAGATAAAATTGCAAAAATAAGGTCCTCTACAATCTATTTCTTTTTTAATTAATATTATTTCCGTGTTATAATCCAATGGTACCATCTGCTCTCTTTTTGTCTCTTTCTGTCTGTTTTCTTTAAAGTCTAAGAACATCAGGGAGCAACAGACTTGTCCTTTTTACATCTTCTCATCACCGCCTGTTCTTCATACATATGCAGATATGCGTGTCTTAAAACCTTTCTGTTACTGTGACCTAAAACAGGCAATGAAATGGCTTTAAAGTGTGGGGGGGTCGTAAACATATGTGTTGGACAGAGTGGAAGAGATTAGCGAGCATATTCATATGCATATGTAGGAGCTTTAGATGCAGCTGTGCAGGATTGCATGTCTGCAGAACATAAATTACTGCTTGATGGATTGCTGGTTAAATTTCCTGATGACTCAAAAAAAAAGAGGACTTCTGTACAGCAGATGGTGCAACGACACAGATTGCCGGTTTTCATTTCCCAAAACTACAAATAAGACAAACTTTGATTTAATTTTTTTCTTCTAGCCTTTGTTTGGTTTGGTGCATTTTTATTTTCATAAAACAAAAATGTTAGAAATCTGAGTCTACAGCGTCACATATAAATAGTTTTAGCCAAAGAGGAGTTGATGCACTAACTTTTAATCAGTTTTTTAAATGAGCTTCCGCTAACTCTGCCTCATTAATCAGTGCAACATAATGCTAACGTGAGAACTCTGCTTTCCCTTCATGCAAATTGGTTGACACTGGTACCGCTGTGAGTGTAAACAAAGGAGGGTGACAGAGAAAGTGTTAATAGGTGAAGCTCCATCATGCTGCTGCTGCAGCGGCTACGTTCAGCCATGCTTAACAAACAGCAACAACTTATAATGAGCCTGCAGGGTCGAATGTGAAGACTGATCTAACTCATGTGAACAAGATCATTGTTACTTTGCCTTCAGACATGTTGATGGGGCTGTGATGGCAAGTGTTTACTACGATTTATGTATGTAGTCCTGTGCAAAACTTCCAAGTCATCATCTTATTTCCATATGCAGATATGGATATTTATTTACATTTCCTTTAGATTTCTTACTGTTTTCTTTGATGTTTGGCTGCACTTTGTTTGTTCTAACTTTAGAAATCAAAGTATTTTATTGTCCAGTGTTCAGGAAAATTAGTTTTTCTCAACTGCAACTGAGAGTGGAAAGGTACTGAAGGGATAACTACAGAAGATTCATAAGATACAGTTATCAAAAACGGTGAACTGGAATGAAATGTGTGCAAGAAATATGCAAAATATCCATTTAACAGTTGCAAAGACAAACTATTTACTATGAAAATGTTTTAAAACATTTAGTCAACAGCGGGGAATGTAAACAGCTTATTGGCTAGAGGGAAGGATGTGTGATAGCGCTCCTTTGTGCATCTAGGATGCAGCGGTCTGTTACTGAAGAAGCCTTCAGTTCTGCAAAAGCTTCATGCATCAGCTGAGAGACATTGTCCAACAGGGATTTATTATTTTCTAGAGCCATTCTGTTTTTAAAGTATTCTAGTAACGATTTGGTCTTCCTGATGAGTTAGTCTCGAGGCTGATTTAAACTCAGAAACCAGGTCATCTGCTTGTAGGGCTGGGTACCTAACTTCGGTTCTTTTATGGTACCGACCGAAATGCTTCGGTTCTACCGAGTATCGAAACATGTCTCGTCTTTCGGTACCAACTTTCGGTGATTGGCTGTAACACTTAACGTGATTGCGTCATCCAGGAAAAATACACAGCTGGTCCCGCCTACAGCCAGGGTTCATGTGTATCTGTTGTGAACTGGTTGCAGCGTCGTTAAACCACTTTAAAATGCTCCCCAGGTCAAAAGTGTGGCTTCACTTTATTAAGACTGATGCCAATAGTGCGCAATGCAATACATCGTGCACGGAAACAATTTAAGAGCAGAACGTTGCTCGGTGTTTGACTGCAAGAAGAGCGGACCGCAGCCAGCGCGACCATCCTCCTCTCAGCAGCCCGTGGGCAGAGCAAAGCCAGAGCGGAGTGAATCATGCGAGACACTCATGGAGAATGCTGCTTTCAAACTGGACGCAGCAGGAGCAGCAAAATCACGTCTGCTGCTTCCTTTTTGCTGCTTGTACCAGCTTCTGACGCACGGCTGAAGAAGCTTTGCTGCTCTGGCTGCGCGGTCGAAAAGTGGCTCTGACGCGCGTTGGGCGTAGCTACTCTATCCTTTCTTTGCCTTGCAGCTATATTTGCTGTGATCAGTGGGAATAAAGTAGTTTTATTATGTTTTTAAGTGGGAAAATCCACCTGAAAACTTAATCAGTGCAGTCAGTTCATCCTGCCTTCCAATATTTCTGTCGGAGCCGCTCAGACCCCCACATACCAGCGGTGCGCTGTCAGTACAGTAGGATCCCATTCAACAGGCTTGTTTGTCAGACATGGTAATTTTTCTAAAGGAAAACTGCTAAGTAAAAAGGTCCTCACAATGTAACAGTGAATATTAGACACTGAATTTTTTTTTATTATGTAAGAGGAAAAATGTAAATGGAAAAATCAGAGCTTAAAATAAAACTCAAGATTTGTACTTTTTTATGTTGTGTAATTTTCTTTTTCTTCGAATTGATATTATAAAACTGGTATTGAAAAAAGTATCGTTCAGGAACCGGTATCGAAGTGAAGGTATCGGTATTGGTACCGGAACCGAAAATTTTTGAACAATACCCAGCCCTATCTGCTTGTGTGTCGCAGTGAACGCAAATATGCCGCCGTCCCTTGCGCAGACACTCTGCTGCACCTCTCCAATATTGTAGCTGACCGCAGACAGGAGGCCTCTGATTGGTCAAATCTACATACGTATTTCCTGTTTGGTACCTTACCGGCTTGTTTTGTTTTTTATGACCACCATTTTGGGACGACTCGCCCTCATGTCCCTCCGTCGTCGCACAAACTTCCCCCCAGTTCCTCACCCCCTCGGCCGTGTCTAGGCCCACAGCTAGTTCCTGATTGTTCCTCTTGAGCTGTGGTGTGGAATAACATAGCAAAGACCATGCTTCAAAATTGGGCATTAATAAAAAATATCTGCATCATACCTGCGGCAGGCTACCTGCGACACACTGCTGCAGGAGTATAACCAGCCCTTAACTGCTTCAAAAGCTGAAAAGAAGCTTTATATTTACTTCAGATACGTTTGCTGGAAGGC